GGGACTATGAAATTAAAGTTGCTAGGGAATCGAAAACTAAACCGAAAAGTTTTTTCCAGGTATATAGAACAAAAGTTAGAGATAAGATAGGTCCCCTTAAAGATAGCTCTGGGCATCTTACTGACAAGGAGAATGAAATGTGCTCCATTATTAATAATTATTTTCTCTCAGTTTTCACTCAAGACACTAACAATATCCCAGTAATAATTTTTTACAGTAAGCCTGAAGACGATAAATTATGCAAAATCACAGTCACTAGCGAAATGGTTATCAAACAGATAGACAGACTGAAGCAAAATAAATCCCTGGACCCTGATGAACTTTTTTCCAGGATTCTTAAAGAGTGTAAAATGGAACTTTGTGAACCATTAACTAATATTTTTAATTTATCTCTTCAAACAGGTGTAGTGTCTGATATGTGGAAGATGGCTAATGTAATTCCTATTTTTAAAGCAGGGGACAAGTCGTTACCGTCAAATTACCGCCCAATAAGCCTGACCTCAATTGTAGGCAAATTACTAGAGTCAATTATAGCTGATAATATAAGAAGCCATCTGGATAAGCATAATCTGATTAATGATACTCAACATGGATTCTCGAGGGGCCGTTCCTGCCTAACTAATTTATTAACCTTCTTCAGTAAAGCTTTTGAGGCCGTTGATCATGATAAAGAATTCGATATTGTTTACTTAGATTTTGGTAAGGCTTTTGATAGAGTACCGCACCATAGACTGTTAAAAAAAGTGGCAGCTCATGGCATTGGGGGAAAAGTGCTGTCATGGATCGAGTCATAGCTCACTAATAGGAAGCAGAGAGTATGCTTAAATGGGGTTAAATCCGAGTGGGGATCTGTAACAAGTGGCGTTCCGCAGGGATCAGTTTTAGGCCCGTTGTTGTTTAAATATATATCAATGACCTTGATGAGGGAATTACTAGTGATATGAGCAAATTCGCCGATGACACAAAGATTCAATTGATTCAAACGTAGATGTTAGGGAACTTCAGAAGGATTTAGACAAACTCTATTCTTGGTCAGAAAAGTGGCAGATGCAGTTCAATGTAGATAAATGCCAGGTTCTGAAGCTCTGGAGTGTCCATAACCCTAGCACTTATAAGTTAAATGATGTAGAACTTAACCATACAGATTGTGAAAAGGACTTAGGGGTTATGGTAAGCAGCAACCTTAAACCAAGACAGCAGTGCCTAAGCGTACGTAATAAGGCCCAAAAAGATTATTGGGATTTATATCAAGAAGTGTAAAACAACAGAAGTCCAGAGGTCATACTGCAGCTTTATATATCATTAGTAAGGCCTCACCTAGATTATGCAGCTCAGTTCTGGTCTCCATATTACAGAATGGACATAAATTAGTTAGAAAAACATTCAGCGTAGGATGACTAAATTAATACATAGCATTAGAAATCTTCCTTATGAAGAAAGATTGAAGACTCTTAAATTTTCATTCACTTGTTAACGAAGAATGAGGGGAGACCTGATCGAAGTGTATAAGTGGAAGTTGGGTATTAATAAAGGGAATATAAATAAAGTCTTGAGGATATCTCTCCAAGAGAGAACCCGCAGTAATGGATTTAAATTAGATAAGTTTAGATTTAGAAAGGATGCAGGAAAGTATTGGTTTGGAAATAGGGTAGTTGATGAGTGGAACAGTCTACCTAGTTGGGTTATTGAGGCTAGGACTTTGGGTAGTTTCAAATTTAGGTTGGATAAGTACATGAGTGAGAGGGGTTGGATTTGAGTGGGAGTTTCATATGAGGGTGGATAGAGTTATCAGGCCTGATTTCTTGGGTGGCATTGAAAATTGGGTTGGGCAAATGTATTGTTAGTGGGATGGATTGTAAAGGACCTGCCGAGTATGGGTCAACAGGCCTGCTGCAGTGTTCCTCCTTTCTTATGTTATGTTCTTATGATATGCCCCTTAGCTCCGAAACTAGTCTTGTTGCAAACCTTTGCACTTTCTCTAATTTCTTTACGTACTTGGCTAGGTGTGGGTTCCATACTGGTGCTGCTTACTTCAAATTAGGCGTAACGTACACGGTGCACAGGGTCCTGAACGATTCCTTATTGAGATGTCGGAATGCTATACTTAGGTTTGCTAGGCGCCCATATGTTGCAGCTGTTATTTGATTGATGTGCACCTCAGGAGATGTGCTCGGCGTTATAATTACCCCAAGACCCTTTTTCTTGAGTGAGGTTTGTAGTCTCGGTCCCGCTAGACTGTACTCCATTTGTGGTCTTCTTTGCCCTTCTTTGCCCTTTGCCTATTTGGTTGGGTTGAACTCCAGGAGCTGGTTTCTGGACCAGGCCTGCAGCCTGTCCAGATCCCTTTATAGTTCTGCCTGGTCCTCGTCTGATTGAATTCTCATCATATTCACATCATCTGCAAACAGGGACACTTATGAGTCTATTCTTTCTGTCATGTAGTTCACATATACCAGAAACAACAGTTCTAGGACTGACCCTTGTGGAACCCCGCTCGTCACAGGAGCAAACTCTGACACCTCGCCACGTACCATGACTCGCTGCTGAATTCCCAGGAGGTATTCCCTGATCCACTGCAGTGCCTTCCCTGTTATCCCTGCCTGGGCTAAACGCCTTCTTCCAGTCCAAGAAATTGCAATCTACCCACCCCTCTCTCTCTCTCTCTCTTGTCTTACTGCTTACACCCTGCCATAGAACTCCAGTAGGTTTGCGACACAGGATTTCCCATCACTGAAACCGTGCTGGTTGTTGTTGTTAAGATCATTCCTTTCTAGGTGCTCCACCACTCTTCTTCTGATAATTTTCTCAATTACTTTGCATAGTAAACATGTCAGTGACACTGGTCTGTAGTTTAATGCTTCATGATGGACTGATTACATCGTCTTCAAGTATCTTCTGCTTCTATCAACTTTTCTGTACTTGACTGAAGAAGCCTACTGTGTAGGCGAAACGTTTCATAATAAAGATACCTAACTGTTGCATATGTGTCTTACCTAACAACTGGATCTACATTTGCTGTCTTCCATACCTCAGGAAATCGCCCTGTTTGGGTAGATGTGTTGAACTTTGTGTGTGTGTGTGTGTGTGTGTGTGGTGTGTGTGTGTGTGTGTGTGTGTGTGTGTGGTGTGTGTGTGTACTGGAGAGAAACAAGAGAAGAACTTTGAAGTGAGGAGGCGGTAAGTGGGAAATAGTGTGAGTAGGAATGTGTTGGAGAGGTGTAAGTGTTGTAGTTGGAGAAGAGTGGGAGGGAGAGAGCAGGGTACGTGTTGAAGAGGAATAGTTAGGGTCAGTGTATGTACACAGTCTTGGAATCAATTGCGGTACAATAGACTGCCATCACACTACACGTTATCATATCTTCTGTTACAGTTTTTAATTTATTAACGGAGGGGGGGGGGAGAGTGTTTACCATGTGGTAAGTTGAATGCCTTGATCAAATTAAGACATGCTGGGTGAAATCTTTTTAATTCTGTTTACAAAATGCTACTAGTTTAGCCGAGGTGTCTGCCAGGAGGTAGTGGGGCACATGGTGACATTAAGATGTTGCGTCATCTGGAGTGTCCATAACCCTAGCACTTATAAGTTAAATGATGTAGAACTTAGCCATACAGATTGCGAAAAGGACTTGGGGGTTATGGTGAGCAGCAACCTTAAACCAAGACAGCAATGCCTAAGCGTACGTAATAAGGCAAATAGATTACTGGGATTTATATCAAGAAGTGTAAGCAACAGAAGTCCAGAGGTCATACTGCAGCTTTATACATCATTAGTAAGGCCTCACCTTGATTATGCAGCTCAGTTCTGGTCTCCGTATTACAAAATGGACATAAATTCGTTAGAAAACATTCAGCGTAGGATGACTAAATTAATACATAGCATCAGAAATCTTCCTTATGAAGAAAGATTGAAGACTCTTAAGTTACATTCACTTGTTAGACGAAGAATGGGGGGAGACCTGATCGAAGTGTATAAGTGGAAGATAGGTATTAAAAAAGGGGGATATTAATAAGGTCTTGAGGATGTCTCTCCAAGAGAGAACCCGCAGTAATGGATTTAAATTAGATAAGTTTAGATTTAGAAAGGACATAGGAAAGTATTGGTTTGGAAATAGGGTAGTTGATGAGTGGAACAGTCTACCTAGTTGGGTTATTGAGGCTAGGACTTTGGGTAGTTTCAAATCTAGGTTGGATAAGTACATGAGTGGGAAGGGTTGGATTTGAGTGGGACTTTCACATCAGAGCTTATTTCTTGGGTAGCATTGAAAATTGGGTTGGGTAAATGTTTTGTTAGTGGGATGAATTGTAAAGGACCTGCCTAGTATGGGCCAGCAGGCCTCCTGCAGTGTTCCTCCTTTCTTATGTTCTTATGTTCTTATGTTCTTTAGAAATTTTGACTTACTGCTGAGAACTGTTTGCTGCTCACCTTTCTTCTACCCCCCTCATTGCTACTCTCTTGTTTTGTGAAGCTCTCACTAACCCACTACAACACAATATTCATTGCTGATGTTGCAGTGTTACAAGTCTTCTTTCCAGCCCAGACTCTCAGATATTCACATTAATGATAATTTTTATTTCTACAAGCACATGACACGACTTCTACAGACCTTAGCTAACATTATCTACATACTATATAGAAAGTCCCTGGTTATGCAAAGCATTTCAGGCAACTTAGGTTAATTTGTGTGCCGTTGGGGTGTTGACCCCCAGAAACTCCTTCGAGGTACTCTCCTCCAGGATGCGACCAACATCATTTGGTTAACACCCAGGTACCTACTTAATGGTAGTTGAACAAGGACAGCAGGTGTTCTAAGGAAACATGGAAAATGTTTTCACCCGCACTGGGGATCGAACCACGGTCACTCACTGTGTTAGCTGAGTGCGCTACTGACCTATTGAATCATATTTTGATTAACCTTGTTGATCAGTCGTTGAAAAAACTCATTCGTTAACAAGTAAACGGAAACACATCATTTAAATGACCAATTATTATATTTTCTCAGAGACCCGAAAAAATACGACCCTGCAGACCGGAGCCAGGCGGAACACCTTCAGAATCTGGTGCCTTCAGCAAGAGTGGTCAAGGCCTTCAATGTTCTCTCAGCTTACACTCTGGCCAGGGGCACTAGAGGGAGTAAGGAGGTAAGTGAGCACACACACTGAGTTTACATCCAGCACATCATCAGTCTTGGCTGACCAGCAAACATTGTAATGGATTGCAAAAAGTAATTTATGAATCTCAGCTATTCAATACAGTGGTGAAAATTGGTATAACAATAAACATAGGAAAACTCTTCATAAAATTAATTAGACATAGACGTTTTTTTAGCATGCTATAATACATTAAAAAAAGTTAATGGAACAGGAACAAGATCAAATGACGAAATTTTTTTTGTGGTACTCAAAAATATAGAAGGTAAGACAAAATTCTCAGCTGTGTTTAGAGTGAGTGTTAGAGGAGAGTGCTATTATGAGTTAGGAAGAGAGTCCGGCGGGCCTCAGAGGGTAGGTTCTGTATGCCACAGAGAGTAGGTTCTGTGAGCCTCAGAAGGTAGGTTATGTGTGCCTCAGAGGGTAGGTTCTGTGAGCTTCAGAGGGTAGGTTCTGCGAGCCTAAGAAGGCAGGTTCTGTATGCTTCAGAGGGTAGGTTCTGTGAGTCTCAGAGGGTAGGTTCTATATGCCAGAGAGGGTAGGTTCTGTGAGCCTCAGAGTAGGTTCTGTGAGCCTCAGAAGGTGGGTTCTGTGAGCCTCAGAGGGTGGGTTCTGTGAGCCTCAGAGCGTGGGTTATGTGAGCTTCAGAGGGAGGGTTCTGTACGCCTCAGAGGGTAGGTTTTGTGAGCCTCAGAGGGTAGGTTCTTGACCAGAGGAGTTCTGTAGACAGAGGGTAGGTTCTGTGAGCCTCACAGTGTAGGTTCTGTGAGCCTCAGAAGGTAGGTTATGTGTGCTTCAGAGGGATAAGTTCTGTGAGCCTCAGAAGGCAGGTTCTGTATGCCACAGAGAGTAGGTTCTGTGAGCCTCACAGCGTAGGCTCTGTGAGCCTCAGAAGATAGGTTCTGTAGTCTCAGAGTGTAGGTTCTGTATGTCACAGAGGGTTGGTTCTGTATGCCACAGAGGGTAGGTTCTGTATGCCACAGAGGGAGGTTCTGTATACCACAGAGGGTAAGTTCTGCGAGCCTCAGAGTGTAGGTTCTGCATGCCACAGAGGGTAGGTTTTGTTTGCCACAGAGAGTAGGTTCTGCGAGCCTCAGAGTGTAGGTTCTGTATGCCATAGAGGGTAGGTTCTGTATGCCACTGAGGGTAGGTTCGCATGTCACAGAGTGTAGGTTCTGTATGCCACAGAGAGTAGGTTCTGTATGCCACAGAGGGTAGGTTCTGGGAGCCTAAGAGTGTAGGTTCTGTATGCCACAGAGGGTAGGTTCTGTATGCCACAGTGTAGATTCTGTATGCCACAGAGAGTAGGTTCTGTATACCACAGAGGGTAGGTTCTGTGACCTCAGAGTGTAGGTTCTGTATGCCCAGAGGTAGGTTCTGTATGCACAGAGGTAGGTTCTGTATGCAACAGAGGTAGGTTCTGTATGCCACAGAGAGTAGGTTCTGTATGCCACAGAGAGTAGGTTCTGTATGCCACAGAGGGTAGGTTCTGGGAGCCTAAGAGTGTAGGTTCTGTATGCCACAGAGGGTAGGTTCTGTATGCCACAGAGTGTAGATTCTGTATGCCACAGAGAGTAGGTTCTGTATACCACAGAGGGTAGGTTCTGCGAGCCTCAGAGTGTAGGTTCTGTATGCCACAGAGGGTAGGTTCTCTATGCCACAGAGTGTAGGTTCTCTATGCAACAGAGTGTAGGTTCTGTATGCCACAGAGAGTAGGTTCTGTATGCCACAGAGTGCAGGTTCTGCATGCCACAGAGTAGGTTCTGTATGCCACAGAGAGTAGGTTCTGTATGCCACAGAGGGTAGGTTCTGTATGCCACAGAGTGTAGGTTCTGTATGCCACAGAGAGTAGGTTCTGTATGCCACAGAGGGTAGGTTCTGCATGCCACAGAGTGTAGGTTCTGTATGCCACAGAGGGTAGGTTCTTATCCGATGTAGTTTATGCCAAAGAGTGTAGGTTCTGTATGCCACAGAGTGAGGTTCTGTATGCCACAGAGTGTAGGTTCTGTATGCCACAGAGTACAGGTTCTGTATGCCACAGAGAGTAGGTTCTGTATGCCACAGAGAGTAGGTTCTGTATGCCACAGAGTGTAGGTTCTGTATGCCACAGAGTGTAGGTTCTGTATGCCACAGAGAGTAGGTTCTGTATGCCACAGAGTGTAGGTTCTGTATGCCACAGAGAATAGGTTCTGTATGCCACAGAGAGTAGGTTCTGTATGCCACAGAGGTGAGGTTCTGTATGCCACAGAGTAGTCTGAGCAGGTAGGTTCTGTATGCCACAGAGGTAGGTTCTGTATGCCACAGAGGTAGGTTCTGTATGCCACAGAGGGGTAGGTTCTGTATGCCAAGAGGGTAGGTTCTGTATGCCTACAGAGGGTAGGTTCTGTAATGCCACAGAGGTAGGTTCTGTATGTCACAGAGGCTAGGTTCTGTATGCCACAGAGTGTAGGTTCTGTATGCTACAGAGGGTAGGTTCTGTATGCCACAGAGGGTAGGTTCTGTATGCCACAGAGGGTAGGTTCTGTATGCCTCAGAGTGTAGGTTCTGTATGCCACAGAGGGTAGGTTCTGTATGCCACAGAGGGTAGGGTCTGTGAGCCTCAGAGGGTAGGTTCTGTATGCCTCAGAGAGTAGGTTCTGTATGCCACAGAGTGTCGGTTCTGTATGCCACAGAGGGTAGGTTCTGTATGCCACAGTGTAGGTTCTGTATGCCACAGAGGGTAGGTTCTGTATGTCACAGAGGGTAGGTTCTGCGAGCCTCAGAGTGTAGGCTCTGTATGCCACAGAGGGTAGGTTCTGTGAGCCTCAGAGAGTAGGTTCTGTGAGCCTCAGAGAGTAGGTTCTGTATGCCACAGAGGGTAGGTTCTGTATGTCACAGAGGGTAGGTTCTGCGAGCCTCAGAGTGTAGGTTCTGTATGCCGCAGAGGGTAGGTTCTGTGAGCCTCAGAGAGTAGGCTCTGTGAGCCTCAGAGAGTAGGTTCTGTATGCCACAGAGGATAGGTTCTGTGAGCCTCAGAGAGTAGGTTCTGTGAGCCCCAGAGAGTAGGTTCTGTATGCCACAGAGGGTAGGTTCTGTATGCCACAGAGGGTAGGATCTGTATGCCATAGAGGGTAGGTTCTGCATGCCACAGACGGTAGGTTCTGTATGCCACAGAGGGTAGGTTCTGTATGCCACCGAGGGTAGGTTCTGTGAGCCTCAGAGAGTAGGTTCTGTGAGCCTCAGAGAGTAGGTTCTGTGAGCCTCAGAGAGTAGGTTTTGTGAGCCTCAGAGAGTAGTTCTGTATGCCACAGAGGGTAGGTTCTGTGAGCCTAAGAGTGTAGGTTCTGTATGCCACAGAGGGTAGGTTCTGTGAGCCTCAGAGAGTAGGTTCTGTGAGTCTCAGAGAATAGGTTCTGTATGCCACAGAGGGTTGGTTCTGTGAGCTTCAGAGCGTAGGTTCTGTGAGCCTCAGAGGGTAGGTTCTGTATGCCACAGAGGGTAGGCTCTGTGAGCCTCAGAGAGTAGGTTCTGTATGTCACAGAGGGTAAATTCTACGAGCCTCAGAGTGTAGGTTCTGTATGCCGCAGAGGGTAGGTTCTGTGAGCCTCAGAGTAGGTTCTGTGAGCCTCAGAGAGTAGGTTCTGTATGCCACAGAGGTTAGGTTCTGTGAGCCTCAGAGAGTAGGTTCTGTATGCCACGGAGGTTAGGTTCTGCATGCCACAGAGGGTAGGTTGTTCGTAGGTATGACCACAGAGAGTAGGTTCTGTATGCCACAGAGGGTAGGTTCTGTGAGCCTCAGAGAGTAGGTTCTGTATGCTCAGAGGGTAGTTCTGTGAGCCTCGAGAGTAGGTTCTGATGGCCTCAGAGAGTTAGTTCTGCATGCCACAGAGGTAGGTTCTGTGAGCCTCAGATGGTAGTTCTGTATGCCACGAGGGTAGGTTCTGTGAGCCTCAGAGAGTAGGTTTGAGCCTCAGAGATAGGTTCTGTGAGCCACAGAGGGTAGGTTCTGTGAGCCTCAGAGAGTAGTGTTCTGTAGACATGTCATGAGAGTCAGATAGGTTTCTGTATGCCACAGAGGGTAGGTTCTGTGAGCCTCAGAGAGTAGGTTCTGTGAGCCTCAGAGAGTAGGTTCTGTATGCCACAGAGGGTAGGTTTGCTGTGTTGAGCCTCAGAGAGTAGGTTCTGTGCGCCTCAGAGGGTAGGTTCTGTATGCCACAGAGGATAGGTTCTGTGAGCCTCATAGAGTAGGTTCTGTGAGCCTCAGAGAGTAGGTTCTGTATGCCAGAGGGTAGGTTCTGTTAGCCTCAGAGAGTAGGTTTTGTATGCTACAGAGGGTAGGTTCTGTGAGCCTCAGAGAGTAGGTTCTGTGAGCCTCAGAGAGTAGGTTCTGTATGCCACCGAGGGTAGGTTCTGTGAGCCTCAGAGAGTAGGTTCTGTGAGCCTCAGAGGGTAGGTTCTGTATGCCACAGAGGATAGGTTCTGTGAGCCTTATAGAGTAGGTTCTGTGAGCCTCAGAGAGTAGGTTCTGCATGCCAGAAGGTAGGTTCTGTTAGCCTCAGAGAGTAGGTTTTGTATGCCACAGAGGGTAGGTTCTGTGAGCCTCAGAGAGTAGGTTCTGTGAGCCTCAGAGAGTAGGTTCTGTATGCCACAGAGGGTAGGCTCTGTGAGTCTCAGAGAGTAGGTTCTGTGAGCCTCAGAGGGTAGGTTCTGTATGCCACAGAGGATAGGTTCTGTGAGCCTTGTAGAGTAGGTTCTGTATGCCAGAGGGTAGGTTCTGTTAGCCTCAGAGAGTAGGTTTTGTATGCCACAGAGGGTAGGTTCTGTGAGCCTCAAAGAGTAGGTTCTGTGAGCCTCAGAGTGTAGGTTCTGTATGCCACAGAGGGTAGGCTCTGTGAGCCTCAGAGAGTAGGTTCTGTGAGCCTCAGAGTAGGTTCTGTGAGCCTTAGAGGGTAGTTTCTGTGAGCCTCAGAGAGTAGGTTCTGTGAGCATCAGAGGGTAGGTTCTGTGAGTCT